TCACCTGCTCTGAATCACTCCGTCTCTGGAAAATATTTTTTTCTTCTATTAGTCTGGACCTGATTAATCAACAACCAGAAACATACCTGGTGCCTCACAGACGTAAAGGAACATGTCTTAAAGCCAAATTACACTAAATGACTAAATATTTAAATATATGTTACATTTATACATGGACCTTTCTTGTATTCTCTCTTCTTTCCACCCTGCATTAGATGGTCTCATCAACATCTAATTGCCTGACCTTTGCTATCAACTCTCACCTGTCACCTCTCATCACTCATCACCATCTGGCCCTAAGCAGGGGCGGGTTTGTTGGTCTCTCCAACCAGCAGTTCTTTAATGTCAGAGACGTGCAGGTAACCGTCTCATTCAGGCTCTGAGGCTCATGCATCACAGCAACATCGACCTGCTCGTGGTTCAACTGATTGTCTGAGAAGTAAGACGTGCATTTCAGTCCTTTATCCATGGCCGTCAGTAGTGTGTCTGTGCTAGGGTACATGAGGTCAGATCCCAAGGGGAAGGTAAGACGACGTGTTCAAGACCTTCGCATCCCTTCCTCCTCTTACTATGACTTCAGAGCCGGCAGACCCACGTTGGACCTGAGCCACAACGAGAGCATTCGGCTGGCAGTGGACTCCCTGCTCAGCTGGGGCTTGGAGGAATACTACGAGGTGTTGAACGCAGAGGGAGAAGTGGACTTTCTGTCAGAGCTGGAGAAAGTTTACATCCTGGAAAATAGCAGGGATGGCAGCACAGGTTATAAATTTTTGTTTTTACACATTGTCCTTGAGCCTGTCTCAGAAAGCAGGTTTAACAGATTCTGAGCTTAACCCTGGACTGGAGATTTTCACTAAACCTGCTTTCTGAAACAGGGCTCTGCTCTTTGCAGCTGGTTGTCTTTAAAAACCCAGAATAGACATCAGTTTGATTGATTGTATATAAAAAAAGAATGATTGGTTGTATTGCTTTGTATTTGCCATAGCTTAATGCAGGGTTTTGTGCTTTACACAGCTGATCCTGGTGTATCTGATGACAAAGAGTTAGACAGCTTGTCTGCTGGCTCACAGTCTGCCACACGATGTCCTGGGATGTCCACAGACAGTGATGCTACCATGGCAGGTTTGGACCTGAGCAACCTAAAAGGTAGTATGGGAGAAGTTAACGTTTATGGAAGACAGTTATTACCAAAAAACTACTCTGATACTTGTGCTTAAGTACAATCTTTCTGGTGGTTTAAGTCTTGATATTTGTGGAGTTAAAATCCTGCAGAATGCACTTTATTGGCAAATCAGTTTTCGATCTTTTCCGTTCTCATTTGCCGCCATCTCTGATCATGTTTTTGTTTATTCCAGATGTAAAGAGTACTGATTGTATCCTGGACAAGCCCAGCGTTGAGGTTTATTTCCAGACTGATAGCAGGGCAGCTGGCATTAAAGACCTGATCAGAGAGTTCATCAGGAAGCCTACAATGGTAGGTGTGTGTGTGGGTGCAGTGTGTGTGTTTCTTCGTGCACCTGCACATGCATGTGTTATATAAAAAGGAACATGACACGCTTGCCTGTACATGTGAGGGATGATAGAAAATGTTGCTATTTGATCTCATGTGCTGAAAAGTCAGCTACACAGTGAGTGATATCTGTCTGTGCAGGTCTTAGCCATAGTGATGGACAGCTTCAGTGACGTAGAGCTGCTGTGTGACCTTCTGGAGGCGAGCAGGAAGAGAAACGTGTCTGTTCATCTGCTGCTGGATCATCTCAACCTGAACCTGTTTGTCAGCATGTGGCAGGACCTCAAACTCAACAGCAAGAACTTCCCAGTGAGTTTGTTTCCTTCCTTTTTTCCTACTCTATCTTCTATCCCTCTATAAATTAATCAAGCCAGGTTTTCCTTTGCATCACACTTCTCCCAGAGGTCATTCAGCTTCAGAACATGCCTCGCCTTCCCAAATACACCTATACAAACACACACCACTTTAAAAATACTCAAATCCAAAGCCTCACTGTCTTAGAGACTAAAAAAGGTTTAGCTGCTTTAACTGCATAAACTCACTGCAGAAAACAAGAAAGTGCGTCAACGCTTTAGTTTTTGGGGCGGATGTGATGTCAGCCAGAACCCTCCAAACACCCAAGGTCATTAGCAACTCACCCCCTTCCTCTCCCACCACTAACCCAGTTAATCCCTGCTGCAGCAGCACGCAGACGCCGTGCAAGGCAGACGGTAAGTGCTGTCTCCTGACGTCTCCGTTTTAAGCTCTCTCTCACAAGCTGGCCTTCGATCTTCGGCATGCTAATGAAGAGTCTGCTCTTGGAAAATCAGGGGATTTTTGAGAATACAATGCAGCCACTGATGCGTGTAACCAAAATGACTGATGACATTCAGCTGGGTCTTAATATGTGCTCATATATTTTATTTTAAATCAGTGCATTTTATTGGACTTATGACTATTGCGTTACAGTGCAGTAGTTTATCTTCATATTTAATATATTTATATATATTTTGCACTTATATTTGTATGTTTTTTT